GTAGAGGTCCGTGCACAAATCAAGGCAACTCTCAGCAAGGATCAAGAACGCTACGCAGCAAACAGAACTTGCCCATGATGCAACAAAGCAAGAAAGCACGTGCAATCGTGTCATCACTTGCAAAGTTACCTCATGTAGGATGCCATGGACGTGTCCATTCTATCAGTCCTTCAGGCCTATCGATCCAACCTAGTCGCCATTGCTCCAGCTCAAACAAAAATAAGTGTTCATCCACTGCGTCGATAGAACTGCTTAGAGAGATGGTGTGCGATGAGGAACGTACCACGGACGGTGTGTTGTGGGGACACCAAACAGCACCAGGAGCTTGCAAGCGACCAAGTCGCCCAAAGCACGTTTGTTAGCACATGGATCTGATCTTCACGTCCACGGACGGATGGTTCTTACGGCCCGTCCACGCTGTGGCCCGACCAGGCCACAAAGACTGGCGCCATCAGCTGTCCACGCCGCAAGACCCTGGTCCACACCAAGACCTGGAAAATCCTGGTGTTGATTTTCGGCATGGATCTTCACCTTACCCTAGGGCCCAAGGCCTCCAACGTATATCCTCAAACCTCCCTGGCACCCACTCCTGTCCAACGAAACGAAGGGGGCGGCCAGGAGGGTTTTTTCACCCAACCAATCAGAAACAAGAGGTGGATCCATACTCTCAGAGATTCTCAGAGTACGTGGATCCGGGATTCGTTGTCTCGTCTACGTCTCTCGGAGACAGGTCCCTTCCCTCCATCGCCTCGCGGAGTTGCAACTGGGACAAGGCATGAAGCTCACAGCAGTAGAGGTAGATGGAGACCACCTGCCCAAGGGGGCAGGGGCAACAAAATACCAAGGTGTTTTGTAATATCCAAGGTGATGAAAAGCTCCTTCTGACTCTAGCACAGAAATCGTGGGATTAATTTTGGTGTGTGAGGATGATGGCTTACTAGCCAACATCCCCCCTTTCAACTTCTCACGCCAGCACAAGAGAAGGCGTCTTGTCCAGGGCGTCATGATTTCACGGTTCACTCCAAGCAGCTAACCGGGTTCACTCTCCCTGTTTGGGAAGATGGATTCCCCATTGTCCGAGGTCTACAAACGACCCAAACGACCGGTGCAAAGTCTACCCCAGAAAGCCACCAACGACCGGTCTTCCATACTGCATCTTCCGTCAGCGCGGGTCCGACGAAGTGGTGTCTAGTCCAAGAGGAATACACTGACACCACTGGAAGCTCCCAAAGCCAACATCAAATCGGTGCCAATCCAAGGATAAGAATAAGCTCCTTCCGACTCTAGCACAGAAATCGTGGGATTGCGGTGTCCTCTTCCACACCAAAAATGTGTGGCGTACCAGCCTACGTCGATTTACCCAAGATGGCCATGTGACTCTGTCTAACTAGTGCTGAAGGATGAAGGATGAAGGAATCCCCCCAAAAAAGGGACAACACGTGAGAGGGAGGGAGGAACTCTCACTTCCTCATTTTTTCCTGCCAAACAAAGGTTCACCGCACTTCCCACCTGTTTGTTTGGAGTGAAAAGTGTAAGGGAAAAAGCCTGTTATACTGTACTTTTTAGAGGCTTCTATACATGCCGTGGCCATGGCATGTAGGATTCATCCACAATTGCGTGGCCATGAACTTCCCAGAGTCTGGCCCCTTCCGGACACGATCCACGTGGCCGATAAAGCGTGGCGCTCGAACTGGACGATGTGACTCAATGATGCTGTAGGACTTGGTGTTGATTCGTGACATCATGCGACCTACCCAGGCGCGACCCCTACACAGCTCTTCTCTGGTCCCGAACCAAACCCTAGGGTGAGAAGGTCCGGACCCCTCAGGATTCGGGTACGGCCCCTACTTGGGTCCAGGGTCGCGTTTGGGTAGTCACTATTTATACGTCATGATGGTTCTGTTGGTTTCAAAAAGGTGACCGGAGCGCACCAAACATCATCACTATATCGTATCAACTCTCAGGGCTGCGCACACTAGTTGGAGTTAATTGCTAGGCTACCGATGGGTGGAGCCACTGGCTGAGGTGTAAGTGGGCCCTGTTTGTAGAAAATTGCTTTCTTTTCAGGGCCCATCATCCGCCTACATGATTCATGATTTTGGGCTGCCAGAAGCCTTTGAGTTGGGAAGAGTTTCTTCTTTGGAAGCGTCATGTGGGTGTGCAAAACTAAGAACCCACCACGGGAATCGATGTACAGCTTCCAAGTAGACCAGATTTTGTTCATTGACGGCTTTCAACTTTCTTCCGATCGTCGTCCTTGGGAATTTCTCAGTGTCAGGTGGAATCATATATAAAACTGATTGAACCCTGAGAATCCGGCCCCTGTTCTCAGGTATCGACCCCGACCCCGACCCGACGGCCCAGAAGACCCGCACGCCGCACGATGCTTTGCTTTTCCTTACCATCCTTCCGCGACGCACAGATCTCTCTAGCGTCCGTTTCGCGCGCGCATTAAAGCCTCCAAACGTTCGTGATGCCTACAGCCCAGAATGTGGATGGTCTATTTAAAGTAAACGGGAAACACATCCCACGCCTACAAAACCTTGTGAGTCAAGAATGTGTTCCATCTACCTCCTTTCACCACAAATGATTCATAAACCAAATCAGCTACATGCTTTTTGCTTCAAAACCAGGCTCTATCCACTGCCACGGCTGCAGGCATTCTTCATCCTAAATTTCCACCCAGCCTCTTAGCCAGGTGGACCACAGATGCCTGGGAGAGTTTCACACTCCTTTCACATGCCCAGCATCCCTTGCTGCGGATTCTCCATGATTCTTTGCCGCTTCGCTGCGGCTTCCACCGCCATGGAGATGTCTTGCCCCAGTGGCACTGCGTGCCTCGGATCGGCGTTTGAGCCACAGTTCAGTGGTTGAGCCGTGGGGTTTTCGTGGATTTGCCTTATTTCTTATCATATACTGTATACGTAGATATAGAGTGCCCATGATCCACGCGCCTAGGGACTAAACACCAGCCACCCAGTTGTGACTGTTGGTATATAACTATAATAACTACATCATATATACTATATCCTTGATCCAATTGGGGTGCCCCACCTAAGGATTCCCTCTTCAGCCAAGGCACATCACCTGAGGCTTGCCCTGCTCGGTCATGCCCAGCTCAAATGTGATGGGCGTTCCGGCGTCTCTGCCTTAGGATGAGAAACTTTGCTATACCTGCCATTCTCTCAGTTGTTTTTTCGAGGGCAGAGGTGCCCATGATGCCCAAGATGCCCTCCCATGAGTGGATCATCCGTGGATGAATCCCAAAACCAGAACGGGAGTTTAACCATGTTCAACATGTGATGGACGAGTCCATTGACCAAACTTCCGTCCTTCAGACCCGAGACCACTTCTTTCCGTCCAACACGACCAGCCTATTCAACCTGGTCATTCCAGGAATTCCCAATTCAGAATGGTGGTATTTCCTTGAAGTACTTCGCGTTTCGGCACTGCCGCCCCAGACAGACCCCCCAAACAACCACCCGAACTGGCCGTGAAACTCGGCAGTCCGAACAACGGCCGTCCGAACCGACACGTCGTGTCTGGGTTCCAGAAGATCCCATTGCCATGCTCGACCGATGCGACCTGGATGAGCATCCCATCGACCCGTTCTCTCCAATAACGGTGGACTGGCCCACTGGCCCCTGCCACTGCTGAGATACTTTAAAGAAAGCTGCAAATGTGTCGACATCCTTGAAACAGCAAAGAAAGACGGTTTTTTGGGGAAAGAACCATCCTCTGCCCGCATATCCTTCTTGGAAGCTTGTCTTGACCAAACTTACCAAGAGAGGTGGACAGTGACCGTAAATAGAACCTTACTGGGGTACCGAACTGGGATAGGCTAAACTAGGGTCCTGACCCACCTCTGTTGGCAAGTGAATAACCATGCCACTCCAACCCGTTTCGACCACTCGTCACGACTCGACGCCCGGTCCGGTGATAGCTGTCCATCAGCTGTGTAGCTCAAATAGGGAGACCTCCCAGGCAATGACCCCCCTTGGAAAACCAGAAAAAGACCCGTCAACCGGTCCAGTGATGTCCAGTGGGTCTCCGAAAAAAGCCTACGCACCCAAAAGACGCGTCCTTTTGTGGACCAAAAACCTCCTCTTTGGGTGGCCCACGGCCGAATCAGCCCGAAGGACCATCGCGCATCGCGCCTTCGCGCGCCATCGCGCGCGCCCGGCATCCCGGCACCCGTGCACCGAGGGACTGGGCACGCAGTCGAGCGCACTTTTGTGCACGAAGACATCGCCTTCGGTGACGGAGGGTGAAGTCGCAGTCTTTTTTGGCTTGGAAGAGGAGGTTCCTCTCTCCAACAAACATGGACAAGTGCCACATGTCCCCCTGTTTGGTATTCGAAGAAGCATCGTCATTTGGAGGGTTCAGGGGCCATTCACTTTCCATCCCCATACACGACTAATGGGACTGCCCTTCTTTGCCGATCAGTTGGGGTGGGTCTGGGAGTCGGGGCGGCATTATATCCCAGACACGACACATGGGACTGCCATAGGACTGCCGATCAGGCCAGGGGTGGTTGACTGGGCGTCTGTCTGGGGCGGCAGTCCGAACTGGCAGTCCCATGGATCGTCGTGTATGGTATGGCAGTCCCAGACACGTCGTGTCTGGCCAGATCTCTCAGTGTGCTTCCACCCAGACGCTCATGGGCCTTCATATGGAGGGGTCTGGGGTCTCAAATCCCTAGGGTTTGGAGGTACCAAGAGCTGTGAACGAGCGTTTGGGCAGTTCTACTCTACGAACTCGAACGACCCCGAACCAACGACATGCGGATCCGGCGACCCGCCCCGCCCCGAACCTTCCACGTTACCCGAAGGAGCCTATGCGAGCCGAACGAGTGGGGGCCCCACATCCAACGGCTACAGCGTTGGCTTCGGGTCCAAACGACCACGAACCTGCGGCGGGGGTCCCACTCGCCTCGCCAGAGTGAGTGGAATATTGGGTGGAGAGACTCTCCCCCCGAGACTCTCCCCCCCAAAATCGTGCACTTGCGGAAGAAAGGACGCCCTAGGAATTTTTGGGCTCTCCATGGCAGGGGTCGGACCCTCCATAGCAGGGGTCCGGGCCCTCAAAACCCTATGTGTTTGAGGGTCCGGATTCTTAGGACGGACCAAAGACTAGCTCTTCGAAGAGAACTGATCCACCCAAACGTGAGTTCACAGCTCGACTCCTGGTCCCGAACCAAACCGGATTGCTTCGACCAGATAGACCCCTGACCAGTTCAGAAGACCGGGATCCGACCCCGAACCACCGATTCGGGGTTTTCTGTCGCGTCTCGCGTCTTTGACTTCGGCATAGACCGGGGGTGTCGACATCGATGAAGGCTCCACCCCGCGGGTCCACCGCGCCACCCGGCGACGTCGCGTTCTTCGTCTCGTTGGACGTCTCTCACCGTCCACCGTGGAACACCCGCAGCACCGGAAGCACCGGAAGACCCCTTCACTCCCGGAAGCTGGCCCACCTGTCATGACCTACTTCAGCCCAGGTGGCAGCCGTACTTCGCTAAGAGCTGCTCGCTGGTGACGAAGCCCCAGCCGTTCTCAGTGTTGAAGTTCTTGATGGTGGCGTTGTGGATTTCCTCGGTTTCAGCATAACTAGCCACGGTTTCGGTACCTTTCGGTGTGTCTTTGGGTGCCCAGTGAAAATCCGGTGTGTCACATCCCAAACACGATCTGTCTGCGACTGGAGATACCATTCACCCCGGGGGTTTTCTGTTTCTCAAAGATTTCGACTTCAATCATCCCCAGACACATGGGAATCATGGGACTGCCAGTCCGGACTGCCAGTCCGGACTGCCAGTCCGAAACGGACGGCCGCTTGGGGTGGTTGTGGAGTAACATGGAGTGACCTCGCTGAAAAACCCGGCCCGACACCGTTCCTTCTCCTTTCCTCGCCCGATCAACCGCCCGGATTCCGCCGAGTCCTCTTCGACCGTTGTCAACCGCAGTGGAGCGGACGACGGGAACGTTCGACCGATCGAAATCCGCCGCCCCGGAGGGGGTTGGAAGCAGCACGTGGGGGGCGGTGGTGCCAGGTGAGTCGACCGAGTCATTGATGGTCCTGGATCTATGATGAGTCCATGTGAGAGGCTCCAGACCAGGCGGTTCAAAGGCTCCTTCCATCACCACCCTGCACGACCTGGGGATCTCCATTGGACATCCATTGGATGGTCCAGGTATGATGGGCTCGGGGCTTGGGTGGGAGCTATAGATTCTGCAAAGTTTCAGTCGTGGTGTATGGATGTTTGTGGGACTTTGGGGCCCTCCGAACCCGGCACGGAACCAGCGAACATCACCTTCATCCACACCTCCTGGAATGGGACTGGACACCCCGAATCACCTCTAGGGGCGTTGAAGAGACACCCAAAACAGGTAGCTCTGGTACAGTCCTAGTGGAGGGCTCCGCCATTGAAGACCCGACCCACCATGAGACCCTTCTCAACCCGTCTGATTGCAGGCCCAGGTGCGCCAGTACTGGAGAGCGTGGGTCTCTTATTATGGTAGCTCACGTTCCAGGGAGGTTGGATTGTGGGATCTTCAACTCAGCGGGCATCTTTCGTGAGTCGGATTGACGAGTTTGTGTTCTCAGAGCACTGAAGAGGGTCGGAGTCGGGCGTGACGTGGTGTATCCAAGTCCAAGAACTTGGGAAAAGGTTCTGGACACAAGGTTTTTAAAGACTATATAAGTCTCATCCTGGTCGTCTTCGAGCTATGACGACTCATCGTTCGTCAATGCCTCAGACTCCGCCTTCCAGCAGGTGATTGAAGACCACATGTCATATATAGAAAAATAAAACAGTAGCTCTAACCATCTTCGGGCCCGATACCTTCGCAGGGGTCCGGACACGAACCAAACCCAAACGGGCCCGAAATTCTGAGGGTAGGAACATTGAGGTCGCTCCTCCCAGGTGTGCTTTGTCGGTACCTTGCGAACCTTGGTGTAAGACGGGGCGGTCTCAGCAGCCTCAAATCACCAAGCAAACCAAGCACGTGGTCTCTTTTGGGGGTCCAGAGAACAACGAACAAATGGGTGTCTATCTTGGAGTCTATTGTCTATATATCGAAGTCTATTGTCTACCAGCACCACGGAAAGAGTGTCCATTAATAGCCCCTTAGAGGTCAAGGCGTGTCCATCAACCACCCCTTGGGGGTCCAGGTATAGTCTATTGTCTATAGTCTATATATTGAAGTCCATTGTCCACCAGGTCCATCCCATGGGTGTCCAATGGACTACCCACTGCTTAGAGATGTCTTGGGCACCCCAACAGGATGGTCCAGGTATATTGTCAATAGGGAGAATTCCAGGCTACCCTGGTTTTTGGTCGAAGGTTCACCCGTGGGTCGTTGCCCGCCGGCGGGTTTGGAGCGTCTCAGACCCAAATGGTGGCCCTCAGACCCAAACAGGACCATGGCGGGCCCCAAACGATGAAGCAAGAACCTGAGGCTTTTGGTGACAGAACGATCCCGTTCACTGCAACTCAGCGGCAGGATTGCGAAAGGTCGCCAGCCACGAGTTGCAAGGAGTCATCGCCTTGGAAGATCTTGGAAGCCAAGAGCGTGAGAACGGGCAGGTGTTCGGTCAGCAGGGTGTGCGTCGTTTTGGGGGCTTTTTGGGGATAGTCCCTAGGGATCCAGTCCTACCTTCTCAGGTTCGGTACGACTGGACGGTGTCTCCGTCCTCACCTGAGGTTCGGTACGACTGGATCGTTAGGGAGGTGGTCTGAGTCTGAGACTGAAGGGCATCCCGGTTCGCTGGCGTGGACAGGTCCAAGATGCCAAGACCCACGTTTGATGTTTACACTCCGAACACATCACATGGTGGTGGAATAGCCGTCTGGCCGTCTGTCACACCATTTTCCTCTACAGGTGACGTGGTGGTGTTTTCCACTTCCATGTGACCTGTTCGTCAGAAACATCTTGTGCCACTGACTCTCAGCCCACTTTTGTCTGCCAAACCTACTTGCACCCCCCTGAAAAGCCTTGGAGGTGCTACCACTTATTCCATCGTGAAGGTTCAGGTGAAGGAACTCACCCGCGGGTGACCCGCCAAAATCTCCGATTGTCGCATCAGGGAAGCTTCTACTGTCAGCATCGAGGACCGTTTCTGTAGTCCTTGGTCCATCGAATCTCCTAAATCAGAGGAACAGTTTGACGCCGGGAGAGTTGGGATTGGAGAAGAGCATCCTTGTTCCGTTCGTAGTGCGGCCAGGAGCCCCGTAGCGATAAGTGTCCGAATCGCTCCGTGCGTACCCGTTCGTAGTCCCCTTTTCTGACCCAACGGGAACTGCCGCCACATCTGGCCCTGGCGTGGCGACGCGGGTGACGTCCAACGCCCCTCCACCGTGTCCTCCGCCGGCCGAGCGTCGAACGGCAGTCCGGCGGTCGAAAAAGCGCCCCCGAACGGGGAGCGGTCCCCTCCAAGTGACAAGGCTGGAGATCCTCCACATTGGGATGCATCCTGGGGTCGTTCGGCGTGACCACGGGGTGACAACTGCGGGAGGAATGGGCTTTGTCATGCCATTCCAAGGGAGGAAACCTGCACGTCCAGGTTCACGGACGTGAAAAGGGAACCCTTTTCGGGTCTCAAAAAGGACCGGTCACCACCGAGATCTGTCACGGAGGACACACACCAACGCCACATCCAATGCCACGGATTCTGACGTGGAGAAGACGCCAGCTTCGCCCCTTCAGCATGGTGACCCCAAAGCATCTCTTTGACCCCTTGCAACTTGAGACTGGTCTTTCCGGCAGTTTGGAAGAGAGATGGTCGAGGCGGGTTGGCGATGCTGGACGTTGCTTTTGGCGATGTCAAATGGCTGTGGGTCATGGCACCCGGAGCTCTAGACACTGGTAGGGTGGACTTCTGCAGTCTATTCCCTAAGCTTCCTGGCCCATCAATTTCATAGGCGGGTCATCCCGAATCAACGATTTTACACGTACAAAAACCAGGTCGTTCCCATTTTTGTAATGGTCATGGAAGTCTAGGGTATTCTGTTCATTCTCTAATCACGGTTCCCAACCCTAGGGATCCAAGTACGTCCTCAGAAGGTACTTGGACCCTCCAAACCTACAGTTTCCAATCACCTTCTGACAAGGTACTTGGATCCCTAGGGCAATGATGCACACCGGCGAACCAGATGCCACACTCACTCACCGGGTGCGCCCACTGACTGACTCACCGTGCCCCGGGGCTGCGCTGGTCTCGTTTCGCGTGACAGCATCGCGACGGCCCATCATCGGATGCTTCCACATCGGTGTGTCCCACCCAGGTCACGCGACCCGTTTGACCCTCCGGACCGGGGACCGAACCCGAATCCGGACGGGTCCGGACCCGAAACAATCCCGTGTTTTAGGGACCAGTCGAGCTGTGAACGGAGCGTCTGGGCAGTAAACCTGCAACCAACAAAAATATAAAAAACACGATTTAGGCCGCTTTTCGGCTTATCGCGATGTTGGAGAAAGGCCTGCAACAGCCTGCAAAAACAGGCCCCATCATCCACTGGGCCCAGGGAATAGCATATAAACCCAAGTTCCAACCACCAACAACAGTGATCTGCATCATCTGCCCAGGCACTGCTTATTGAGCTTCACATTGAAGGCCACCATCTGCCCCACAGCCAAGCCGGGCGCCTTGTCCTGCACGGGCCGAGGGTGCCTTGTCCTTCGAAAAATGATCCGAGACGTTTCATTGCTGGAGGTTGTAAAAAAAAGGAGACATTTACATCCAGTGGATTGCATTCAGTCTATCCATCTTCACTCCATCTTCACTCTCCATAAATACTCCATCTCATCCAGGAACAGGAGAAGAGGACAAGATCCATCCCCCGTCTCCCCACGAAAATGCTCCGTCTGCTCCTTGGGAACATAGACGTCTCGGCCAAAGAACTCATAAACCTCCGGGCACTCCACGAAGACGTAGCCCTTCCTGACCGCAGCACACGCGGAGTCGCGCACGAAACCGCCAGCTCCGCGCCGAAGGAATTCAGAAAACTGCCGGTGATGAACTGCCCAGACGCTCCGTTTTTCACAGGCCTTTCCGGGTCCCTCTCAAAACTATACCTGTAGACACGACTAATCAATGGGATTGCCAAGAAACGGCCACCTGGTGGTGCGTTTGGTGGGGTCACTGGGGGGTCTTTCGAAAGGCACTCCGAAGTGGCAGTCACGTCGTCCCGTCGTCTCATGTCGTGTCTGGGATTGGTTCGTTTCTGGACCAATTCGGAGAATCCCGTGCCCATGCGGGCGCAGGGGGCTCGGCTTCAGAGACCCTGTGGCACTGGGCGATTCGCTAAGGTGATCATGCCAAGATCTTTGGGTTCGGCTGGCCGAAACGACCGAGCTGGACTCTTTCAGCGCCGACTTCAGCCAAGTGGCTCGGCATCAGTGATCTTCACGGTGCCTTTCAAGGCGAAGCTCCCGGGGGCCTGGGCGCGAGCGACCGCGCGTCCTTGGCGTCGCGGCGTCGTTGGCGCACGGGCGTTTCGGAAGCAGCGGTGGGTCATGGCACGCGGCATGTGACGCTGGATGACCACCCGACACATGAACCAATTCTTCTTTTGGAGGGAAGTCAAGAAGTCAACCGAGAGGTTTTGACTCACGGCCGTGTGAGTGATGAACAAAATCTCTGGCGACCGAGGGAAATCGTTTCATCTTCTTCGAGCGTCCGTTTGTGTTGTGTATTACAGCTTCGTGTCATCAGGATCCAGTCGGCGAGCTAGATCTGGTGTGGCCCATAAATTGGGCCGCCACAAGCAGTTTCTTGGGTGCTGTTCCACTTCAGTTCCAGGTCCACATGTATATTATACAGGATGTGGAAGTTCAACCAGTGACCTAACCATTTTTCCAAATACCAAAAAGGTGCCTTTTTTCCTTCCATGATGGTTTCAGGGAATGCAAAAAGCACCCCCCAATGTCAGCCTTACCGCCCCGTGCCCGTCGGCTGGGCAAAAACAGCAAAGCCGCCCGTCGAGTCGAGTCAACGCGACGAGTCTGCGCCAGGCGCGCGCGCTTCTTGAGGCCTTGTTGTGAAGTCTCAGGGACTCCAAAGAGCACTGCGGCTGCCCTCCTGGGCGGGCGAAACGCGGCACATGCATTTTTAACTGAAACATGCTGAAGCCATGAAACAAATCCATTGCTTAATCTAAATGCGTGGTCAACCTCTAACTTGTTCAGACTGCGGTGACAGTGAAGATGGGTCTTGAAAGGTGAAAAAATCACCTTTCCAGTTTGTTTTGTGAATGACTGAAATTCAGTTTCGCGAGCCAATTCAGCACGGTGGCAAAAGAGATGGATGTCAAAGCACAATTCCAGCCACGGCTCCCGACACCATTTTTGTTGATATGAAAAACTCCCAGCCACCCTCCCAAGCACCACTTCTTCAGCTAGGATGAAACCTAGCCACGGCTTTCGCCGCCCACCTCAGCCACCCTGTTTGGCACCACTTTTCAAGGGGGTATTTAGAGGACCCAGCCACTTTCAACCTCTAACTGCACAATCTCAAGCCTGATCTGTTCCTCAGCCCTCCAGTTTCTCTGCCAATAAAGGTTAACCTTTTTCAGTCTTTTCTAGTTACACCCTGTTTTTGCGTAGGAGTACTTGGGTAATAGGCGACATGTAAAACAGGATTCTTTAACATGGCTCAAAGTCACAAACCACAGCCAACGCGCCTTTTCCAATCAACCCGGCCGAGGTTGATGGGTGCTTAGTCCTTTAGGAGATGCTTATATGTTGCAAACTTATGAATCTCTAACAGGACTAATACTAACCCAAAAAGAGTCTCGAAAATAGTTCTAGCTGTCCGATCTCAACAAACGAAAGTCTGCGAAGTTAGGGCCCCGTAGGATTATGCGCCTTCCGGTCTACCTACATCGACTGACTTGGTGCAGGAAAGTCTGGCCCCGCAGGTTCATCTTAATCCTGCAGGAGTCCTCTCGCAAGAATGGCGCGCGAGTCTTTGATCGGAAAGGAATTAAATCTATCCTGCGACATGTGGTGCCCGATAACAAACCAATGTAAAAAAACGGAAAACAACAATAACTTCCCACCCTTTCGGCCGCCCAACCGTGCCGGCCAACGTCTCCATCTATAGAAAATATCTGCGCGACAAGGAGTGTTATGTAATACCTGAGACATTGGCATGATCATCGACTCGACTCAAGATCATCAACTCGGTTCCTCCTCGGACTCTTTTCCTGCACCTGCCACACTCCTGCAACCAAGGAAGCCGTGGGAAGCAAAATTTGTTTCTTTCCCCAGGGCCTTGTTGGGGCAAAGGGAAAAGAACAGTTTGTCAAGGCGAAATTCATCAGGTATATGGGAACACAAGGTGGTTGAACAATCCAGCGTGGTACTATTTTCTCACCACACTTGCCGGGAAGTCAAACAAGCGCCTACCATTAATATACAATAAAAGGGAACACCCATTTGTGCAAAGGTACCTGGGTGAAACCGTATACCGAAAGCAATTTAAGTAATCCATCATGTGCCCCAAAGCCTTTGCCGCAGGTAGTATAAGTTGGTCCCGGTGGAACCTGCAAAGCGTTCGGGCCACCCACCCGCTGTAAAAACTGACAGGTGCCCTATTTATGACGGAAGCCCGTGATGATTTCCAAGGCGCCGGCCGAGGCAATCTCTTAAAACACACTGCAACACCCGATGCTGCGACGATGGCTTCGAAAGGCGCTGCGAGAGATAGGCCACCCGATGCTGCAACTTCCTATTCTGCAACCACCCCTGGGCTACATGACCTGGTTGCAAAGCGCAGTGAGTGGCAACGCGAAGTTTACTGTAAAACAATTCGGATCAACGCACCACCACCATGAGGAGACCGCGCCAGACACCGCAAGACTTGCATGGTTTTCTGCTCAGCTCACCTCGCCCTTTGGCGAAGCATGGTGTGAACAGCAGGCAGGCCCTGGAAGTGCACTTGTTCATCAATTTTCAGTGATCTGGAGGCGCATTTTTGTATTTTTTTCAAGGATCTACTCAGATGAAATGCCAAGGACATCTCAACTGCTGTCCTCTGACAAAATGCAGAGTACCAAAAAAAACAATTACTCCAGCATAGACCCCAGATAGCAAATGCATGCAAAAGATTTTTCTGGGCTGCATCCTGCATTGGCAGCAGCTCCAATTTTTACATGCAATACAGCGTGGCGTGTCTCCACTACGCACACAGCCAGCGCCAGCACCCGGCACCAGCACCCAATCTGCACCACGCACACAACGAGCACCACCAGCACCGGCGCCCGGCACCAGCACCAGTCCACTACCACGTGCACAGCTCACAGCACCAGCACCGGCACCCGGCACCAGCACCAGCAATCTGTCTCCACCTCACGCGCAGCCAGCTCACAGGACCAGCGCCAGCACTGGCAGCACCAGCACCAGCACCTGTCTCCACCACGCGCACAGCCAGCTCACAGCACCCGCGCCGGCGCCCGGCACCCAGCACCAGCACCAGCAACCTGTCTCCACCACGTGCACAGCCAGCTCACAGCACCAGCGGCACCCGGCACCCAGCACCAGCAACCTGTTTCCACCACGTGCACAACAGCACCAGCACCAGCACCAGCATTCGGCACCAGCTCACAGCACCAGCACCGGCACCCAGCACCCAGCATCAGCACCAGCAACCTGTCTCCACCACGTGCACAGTCAGCTCACAGCCAGCTCACAGCACCAGCACCAGCACCCGGCACCACCAGCACCGGCACCGGCACCCGGCACCAGCACCAGCAACCTGTCTCGAAAGCGCGCACGGGCAACTCATGTTATTTGAAGTAAGAACCCCATAGCTTCGCTATCTGGGGAATAAAACAAAAACACAAATAAAACAAAAAAACAATCCTGACAGACTCTTTGGACACCCCCCCACCCCCAGTCCAAGACCTCCCAGGAATTGATTTTTTTGTTGTTTTTGTTTTATTGCTTTTTTGTTTTTGATTTGGGGGTGGGTCCAAGACCTCCCCCAAATTGTCTTTTTTTGTGTTTTTTTGATTTGGGGGGGGTGTCCAAGGCCTCCCAGGAATTGTTTTTTAGGAATATATGTTTATTCTATAAAAAAAATATTCTCTGTAAATATAGTTTTGTTAATTTATATTTATCCATGTTTATTGTATGTTTCAATCAAAAGTTATTGCTATATTGCTTTATTATGAGGCTGGGACATCGCCATTCTTGGGCTAATCTGATTTTAAATGATCTATTCCAAATATATATAAAATATATATTAAATATCGATGTTACAATACACTCGAAATGTTTATAGATCCTATCTTCGACATTTAAATATCAAAAACTATTTTATATTTATAAGAAAGTATATAGATATATACAAATATCCTATGTTCATAAATGTTTATCTGTATACATATTGTAAAAAAACAAATTTCATATCAAAAGATATATCCTTAATAATTTTGTCATGTATTCCATCAATGGTGTATTCATATTGTTATTTCTAAATATATAGAAATAAAAATACTTATTTCATTAATAAATCAGAACTTACATGTATTACAGGTATATTACAAGAAAATATAGCTACATTACAATTCCAAAACAATTATATAACATATATATTAGTAAAATATACAACTATATGACATGTAAAATACAAGTAAATTATTATATGTATATTACACTAAAATATAACTATATATCAGATAAAATACCACTCTACTACATATATATATATATTACAGTTGTAAAAATATCAATATTACATCACAATACAGATTTGTTAAAATAGAAACAACTATATTTTCGATATTTTACGTGTAATACAGGTATATTACAGGTATATTTCAATAAAATACAACTATATTACAGGTGAAATACAGATATTTTCAGATATATTTCAATAAAATACAGCCAGATATAATACAGATATATCACAGGTAAATTACAATATAACAGAATTATATTACATATATTATATAGGTATATTACAAATCTATTACAATAAGATACAACTATATCAATACATGTATTTACAAAAAATACAATTGCATTAGAGGTATGTTACAGAAACAAATGCAAATATATGTCAATAAAATACAACCATATTACAGGTATGATACAGGTATATTACTTGTATATTACAATAAAATACAGTCATATTACAGGTATAATACAGATATATTTCAATAAACTACAATTATATTACAGATATATTACAATACAATATAGCTTTTTTACATGTATAATACAGGTTTGGAAATCTTGGGTCTCCAAAAAACAAAAACAAAAAATCGAAAAAACAATATTTCAGAACTCTTTCTGCAGAAGCCCCAAGTTCAAAGACCTCTGGAAAATTGTGTTTTTGTTTTTTGTGGTTTTTTTGGAGACCCAATACTTGGGCAAATACATGTGTCAAGCCAAAACTAGCAGATGAAGCAGACAAGTCTGATAACTGAGTACAACTCAAAAATTGATGAGAAAGTGCACTTCCACAGCCTGCCGGACTCTTTTTTTAGCGGCGCGCAGTGCAAAATTGTCACTGTCCTGCACCTTTAAACTTTCATGTTTCAAAACAAGTTGCCGGATCTCGGAGATCTGCCTGTTATAAAACTGGTGGACGGCCGTGTCCTCATTGCTTCCGTTCAGCATTGTAGGCCACCCTTTCCTAAGACTCGGATTCGCGCACGCAGGCAAAAACTTTACGCATTGAACTTTCAAAACAATAGTTATACTAAATAGAAACCTGTTGAGTTATACATCCGAAGGGCAAGATGTTGGCCTCAACAAGCAAGAACCGCGAATTGAAACAACTTTGGTGTTCTTTTGTTGTCGATGGCGGGGAAAGTTTGTTTTGTTTGCTCTGACCGACCTACTAAACATAAAACAGTTTCGTTTATTATACGGGCGACGACTGCACACCCAAAGTAAATAAGGATGAAGCCGGACACTCCAATCCGAGCACCTCGCCCAAGAACAGAGAACCGCAGGTTCTCTTTTTCGGAAAAGTCGGGAGGGACAAGGAATAGAGCTTCCAGAACTTTGCGGCGGTGTAACCTCCGGACATGCCTTTCACTTGTTGAATTTGCTGGCAAATGTCCAGTT